GCGAGATAAATTGTCACAAGGTAACTCGGAAAAAGTTCGAAAGAGCCGCCTATGGGACCTTGAGCTCCTTCCACGTAACTCTATTTGAGGTCGTTGAATTCTTCTTCCTCACGTCACGCTTAAAAAGAGAGTGCCTTGAAACTAACCTTGAAACTGTCTTCGACCAAAAAAGGGTGAATAAAAATACGTGAAATTCTTGGTGAAAACGAAAACCCTGGAAATTTCCCTCTAAGAGAACGCAATCGATCGGAGAGGATAAAAATTGACACGAGCCGAAGCACAACGTGAGCTGCTTCGTCGTCCAGGATGCTAGCAATGGCGGCGGCCATTGTCCTGGTACCGGAAGTCCCCCGAGAAACGCGGTTAAAAACGCGAATTCGCCGGATTTCTGTGAGACTCGCTACTCCTGGTAGCAGCAGCGTTCTGGTAACCGATTCTCCGCTGGTCGTGTTCGAAGGTTAAATGGAAAAAACTGCGACGACAGGCGAACCGGGAGGCTACCGCCGGGACCACTGGCTTCCGGCCAGAGTTTTCCCTCGTTCGGTGTCTCGCCGCCAGGTAGCGACTGCTACGGACTATTTAAAGGAATTTCGGCGAGGTTCGTCGCTTCGTTTCGTTCAGCAGCGCAGGCGTTGCCCTTTGAATGTTTGTTTGTTTTCGCCCTCGACACCCTTCATGCAAAGAGGAGGAAGGAAATAGAGGAATACCGCGCGTTCTCACGATTAACGATGTTCATCAGGGTGGAGTAGCTGAGAGTATCGTTCCGTGAATTAAAAAGAAAAACAACAACAAGAAGAGAAAGAAAGGAAAGAAAATACCGAGTCGTATCGTGAAGGAGAGGAAGAGGCCACAAGTGTGACACATTTTACACGTCGTTTCGACATATTTTTTTTTTTTTTTATTTTCATACCGTTCCTCGCCGTACGAGAGATACGTAAACTCGTAAGGTATCCGCTAAGTGCGACCGGCCGCACCGGTGCCGGTTTCGTTGGAAGGTCCTGTGATTGAAGAAGAGAAGAAGGAAGAAGACGAAGAAGAAGTGGAAGAGGCATTGGTAAGTCTGATTGCCGCTCTAGCACCACCAACCAGGTGAACATGGGAGTTTCTCGAGACACCTACAAGTGTATTTGTGACGACAATGTGACGTTCGTATACGGGAGCAATAGGAGGAAACAGGAAACATGGACGTATAACAGAGAAGTGTTGTGCGACGACGAGGATAGACGAAAAGAGGGACTAGCCCGTGGAATTATCCTTCTTTTTTGTGGATTCTCTCGACAGATGATCGCATGAGTGTATATGATCGTATCGACGTTCTTTGATCTCGCCGCTAAGGTGTCCAGTGATGATGATGATACGTACAGATCGTAATAGATCCGGAAGAAATCTGGAAAATCGTGCATACGAAATTTCGAAGGTTAGGTTCACGTTCTAAATGGAATTATCACCCTTTGAGAATTTTCTTCGAGTAGCAGCATATATGTATACATTAGCTAAACGTTCTCTGTGCGCGCGTTACCGAGAGAGAGAGAGAGAGAGAGAGAGACAGAGAGTACGCGTACTCGAAATTCTGAAAGAGGATCCCATCCGTCATGGCTCTCCGGTCGATTTCACGTTGTCAAGATGTATTCAGTGGATGCACGGTCAATCCGTACGAAGTTACAACAAAGTGTATCACTCGAAAGCCAAAGAGTAAGCCCAGCCAGGCTAACATAGCAGCGGGCGTGTTGCTTCATCGGACGTGTCGATGGGAGGCTCACGTTACACACAAACACGACCTCTACTTGTTTGCCAACAAACGTACTACATTTCCTATCTTTATAGCCCGTCCACCGTGTTGCATCTAATCTTCAAATAGAAACTGTTCCGCCACGCCGCCAAACCATTCCGAATATTATATCACCGCCAGTCTATTACCTAACCGGCATTATGCCGTTAACGTTTAAGCCAGTTTTAATTTAAATGACTCATCCCGCCGTTTCGTACATTTCCGTCGCTCGCGCCAAGAGAAACAAACAAAGGGAAAATATTAAAAAAGAATTAGAATCGAACTTTCATCCGAAGGACGAAGATCGTATAAGATTAGAGATCGTATTTTACTGTCAATTCCAATTAGTAAAAAAAGAACAATTTTAAAGTTGGAGGGATCCATTTAGTGGAACGGGGACAACCAAGCAGGGGTAGCTGAGAGGGAGGCCAGGGGCGGAGGGGAAGGGGGCGAGGAGGTAGGGGTAGGGAAATCAGCACGCGCGATTTGGCCGGCTAGTCGCGTCCCGGGCGTTCGAGCGAGCTGATCGTCCGGACGGTGTTACGGACCGGTTCCAAAGTGTTCCGCAGTCCCGTGCGACCAATCGATCAGCCTGAACCGTCGTCTGTCCCGACCGTCTGACTCTTCGTCTGTCTGTCTTGGTTCATTTTTTTGGCGCGCGAGACCGTCTTCGAAAAGTTTCCCAACCGCGTGCCACCTTGATATGATCGATATTCACACACGCTCCTCGTTGCGAAAGGGTTAGTTTGGCGGGAATTTTTCGAATAATTCCGTTACGTATACGCACACACGTACATATATCCGTGTTATTCGAACGGAGAAAGAGAGTGAAAGATATGTAGGTTATACGAAAAGATTTTTCGTTCGAAACGTTTCGTCCATTGAACAGAGGAAACTTTGTTTACGAGAGTTGTTCGAACTGGCCGAATAGGATCACAGGGCGGGTTCTAAAGACGCGAAGTCGCTGGTGACCGATTCCGGCGGCCGTAACCCCGATCGACTCTCCCATTCACGCTTCTATCGCCTAACCTTGGCTTCGACGTTTGCTACGCCACTGGCTGCGACCTTTGCACTCGTGTCGAATTTTTTCGCTGCTGTTGACCTTGAACGTGCCGCCGACATTGGGGATTCAGATGAATTTTTTCGAATTGCTTTCGAAATTGTTGAACTTTACGATACGCGTGGTTGAATGATAAGCCACTTACTGGAGAATCGATGATTGGATGCTTCGAATTCGTCGTTAGTTAGGCTGGTTGATAAAAGTGCAGCTTTTTTCGAGTATTTGTTTAGATTCGCAGTAAAAGCGACCGATCGTAGTTTTCTGCCACGTGTAAGCTCCGTTGGTTTACGATGTTTAGAATGTTTCGATGTGCTTGGTTATGTTTCACGACTAAAACGTTGCTACGCCACGACGAATTGCACTTGCTGTAACTGTCGAAAGTTGTAAACTCAATTTTAGACACGAGCGTTGACGTTGCTTCGATACTTTGCGTATATGTCGTGTAATAAAAACGGGTTAAAAAAAAGAAGAACGAGTACCTTGAAAAAGTGGGAATTTCTTTCGAGCATGCTGCTGACCACTGACAATCACGTCGATCGTATACTTGAAAGTATTTTGTTCACGTAAATTGTAAAGTAACGTTCGAATCTTCCCTCGTTACGTAACAAGTTTCAAAGATTTCATACAGTTTCACAGTCACCAGGGTTGCGTTATTATATAACAAAACTTCTTAAACAATCTAGACTAATGTTCGCCCAGCCCGCTCGTTGTCCGCCATTTTTATCGAACCGCTTGAATCGCGGCGTGAATCGATGTTCGATCACTATCGAAACCGGTCGAAATGAAATTATAAGAGTAATAGTTATATAACGATAATATAGCGATGTCCTTTGAATGTCTTAAAATACGCGCCAAGGAAATAGACTAGCAGAAGACTGAAAATAGCTGAGTGCGTCACACTTGACGAACGCTGTCCAGCCAATGGCGTCGCTCCACATAGTCGGTTCGTTCGACTCGCACGCATTTTCCTGCGGCTCACTGCGCCGTTACGCGACACGGTTTTCGCAAAATACCAAAGTGAACGGAGGGAAACAGTTGTCGCGACAATTCCACGGATTCACGAGCTAAAAGACAGTGTAATCGTGCGAGTTGAACGCGTTTGTATATCGTCGATTAGCTCGATATTTACGTTGTACGGGATTGCAGACGGCGCGCGGGCAACTACGCTGCAACTTGTTAATGGCGCATTCCGCGAGGTGGCGCACGTGTGCAATGATTCGCCGTTCGCTGTGTCAGTCTCACGGAAGAGGAGGTTTGCTTAGCATTTAGGGAAAATATATCGTTAAGAAAATGACGTGCGTCTCAAATTTCTGTGCCCGCGTATCGTGATACGTCGTGCCCCGTGCGCAAAACATTTCCTTTAAGTGTCCGGCGAGTTTGTTCGTGCCAGTTCGTTTTCGTTTTTATCCCTATCCGTCTTTCTATCTCTCTCACGTCTCTGTCTGTGTGCTCGAGTGCATCTTAGGGACCTGTAGCTAACCTAAATATTCGACAGCCGTAACGTAATTTCTCTGTGACACGTCGCCAACGAATACTGCGTGCTAGTCCCTGGTGAGTTTCCTCCTGTTGTTCAACTTTGTGAAATATTTCGGATTTCAACGATTCGGGAAAATCAAGGTGTGCACACCTGGAAAAATTTCGGAGCTAGACGAGGGTTTTAACCTGAAACAGTTCGCAACGCGATAGTGAGGCGCGTGCACGCGGTGATTTTTCGTAATCTTTTCTCCGGGCTTGTTTTCCTACGATCTTTACTCCGATGTATTCTTTCGTATCGTGAATTCTTGTGAAATCCTCGAGTAGGGTAGGGTTTATTTGACAAGTTTCACTTTTTCTTGGTTATATATTCGAATTTTCAGGGTAATCGAAATTCACTCGTAACGAAACGTTCGTCTTTATCACAGTGTTTTATTGCCTGTTGTTTTACGTATTACACTCGGCTCTTTGCTAATTGCTTTACAACTTTGTTATTTCAATACTTTCTACGTGACATGCATATTCAGAATATCAGTTAACTTGTGCATAAGCTAGGCTAAACGAACATTTATTGTCAAGAATAGGCAATTAATCTCTAATCTATCTTGGTCTGTTTGAATTGCAGAAAACTGCAGTGTGAATGAACGTGGACAACCACTGAACAGATAAGATTAGTGACGTACTAATACAGAGGTAACCATGGATGACGGCCATTGCAAAACAGTGGAAGAGGTGTTAGGTTTTTTTGGGGTTGATGCTGACAAAGGATTATCTCTTGATCAGGTCAAGAGGAACCAGGAGAAATATGGTCTCAATGGTAAGTCACTTGTTCATTCATCAGACCGTCCGGCTCTCACTTTCCAATATTATAGATTCGTACGTGCAATAGACTCACCATAAAAAACATTTTACTATACACGAAACTTACATTTCTAGGATAAAATTCAAACAGGGAATGTCATTTACCATTTCAATTCAGAACTGAAACAGAAAGTTATGGATATTCAGTTTGCTGTAACTCATTTGCCAAACGCTAGAAATCATAATTTCATGGAATTTCTCATATGTGAAGAGCTTGAAAAGCCACGCGAGCTTCGTGATACTCGTTTAGAGGCGATGTCACGCAGTCAGAGTTCAGTGTATCGCGAACCTATTTGCCCGACGAAGTCGAGCAGCGCGGTAAAAGTGACTTTATCGAGCTGCTTGCTAGCATTGGTCCGTGCACGACGCGCGATACTTATCCCCACTCGTGCACGGTTCCACTGCCAGTCCCCTGGTACACGTGTTCCAAGTTTCCTCAATGGCCCGCATCGGTGAAATACCCTGAATCATTCTGTCGCTTCTTAAAAACGCCTATTATTCTTCCTCTATGAGGGATATTCTCTATTAATACACCGTAATCACGATACTATCGCCATTAACCTGTTAGAAGCCAGGTGGCCATTGGTGAAGTGCTACCAAATGTATTTTAAATCATTTTCCTTACAATACTCTTCATAATTATAGCACCATTTTATATTTCAACCGTAGTACTACTTAAATCTCTGTAGAACCGTTTACAAAATAATCCTTTTTAATTTGTATCTCGGTGGTATGTAATATTTAAATTAATTCGACCGATAGATTTAACGTGAAATGAAGTTATTTCACTGCTTGAAACACGTGTCCCCAAAATTCGACCGTTTCGTACATCCACGAGATCGTTTCGACGATAATAAACACAAATAAAAACAGGATCGACGATAGCATTGAACGATAGCGTTGGTATTAAGCCTCGTCGATGGCTCGATAAGACACTCGTACTGTCGTAATCGTTGGCCTGATCAAACGGTTCTCCGGATAAAATTCCAGTCGACTGTTTATCGAATTCTCTTTCTTTTTTTAAATTAAATGTCGTTGTTATCCGGTAGAAGAGAAAAAGGCAAGATGAACAGCAAGGTTGTTCGTGGCTGCATTTGAAAATAATAATAGGTCGTAGATTGTCAATAGTGGCCTTGAATCATTAGTATCGCGGCATTCATGGACGACCAGTCGGAAGATATGCGTTGCACCTTTTCTGAAGCAGCCTGGAATACCTACCTGCCAGTTGACGTAAAATCGATATAAGACACGTTTAATAAACGACTGTGTGTAATTAAATACTATTTTTATATCGAAAACCGTTGGTGAATTGAAGTGGTAGCGTTCGTTGAAAGAAACTCGTTCACGTCCCCTCTTGTCGTGTCTCAGTTTAGAAACGTTCAATTTAACCCCTTTACCGACTACAGTTACTCCCGAAAATACTCTGACGCTAAGGAAGTTTAACTTATAGCGACGGGTTGAGCCTTTTTCTTTAACGAAACATAATATACTGTAATTTAGAATTAAATATCGCTAATTTAACGCATTTTCACGTTTGACATTGTAACAGAAATTGATCGAAATAATGTTCAGTTACTGTGTTACAAAAATATTCGAAAACTTAGCAAAAATTAATATTTTCGATATTCATATTTCAAATATTATGAATATTTTCTTTTGCTTAACCCTTTCGCGACCAAAGTGCACTCAAACAAAAATTGATCTCAATTCAGCGTCCACCGCAGACACGATAATTTCTAGATAAATCACAAATTCTTGAATAAATTCGTCAATTTTCAGCTAGTCCAGAAAATTTGAAAAATTCAGGTTACTAAATTGAGGTGGAAGTGTGAAGATAAATAAATTCGTACATTTTTAACCACGGCGGCTAGATTGAAAGAATTCAGTTTGTTAAGTTAAGGTGGAAGTGTGAAAATGATAAAATCGAGGATTAAGTTAAGACGGAAATGCACCGAAACGCTTCGACAGTGTGCAGTTGAAGGAAATTCTGTAAACGTCGATAGCAGTGGAAGGGTGAAATTTTGAAGGGTTCTATGTCGCGTTCGATCGCGTGACGATGGTCGTCCACCTGAAACCCTGTGAATCCCGTCTATCAAACTGTCGTTGAACTCTGCACGCCGTGTGAAAGAGAGAAACTACAGATACTGTTAGACAAACGGTTGTGTGAATTGTTTCTCGGTGATTTTCTTCTTCTTTTTTTTTTCTTCCCCCTCGCCGCTGCTCCTTCGCCACGATTAAGAGCGAAGTGAGAAGCTTGAATAATTCATGAGTAATATAAGTTGAACGTATTGTTTATGGACGGCTGGTTATGTCGATTCGAGTATTCGAATGAAACACGTTAAGCGGAGCCAATTTTACCACGTGTAACACGGGGAATCATCGAATACCACGATTACGTGATTCTATTTTAATTCTTTCTTGACACGTGTCCGTGCCACGTGGGTCACTCGTGTCCCACGATGGCTGTCAGAAGGTAAAGCAGAATAGCGACACCTGGTACGAATGTTATGGCAATTTTCACTTCTGTACACAGAGAGGAACTACGTCTGGTCCGTTGGATAAACAAATGAAATAGATTGTAATTGAAGAAAGTGAGGAGAGATATTCTATGAAAATTGTTCCGTCTAGAACGTATTAATTCCTTCGAAAATTGTTTAACAATTGTTCACACCATAGTTAGTTATTTATGATTTTTTTGCTCGCTTCTACTGTACCAAGTAAGAGAAACTAGTGTATCATAGATTAATTGCATTTAAACAGAAATTAAACCGAGAGTTTTGTGCCATAGTTAGTTCTTTAACCCTTTGACTTACGATTTTGTTGCTCACTTCTACTGTACCAAGTACGAAAAACTGAAGTATTACAGAATAATTGCATTTGGTAATTTTCAAACTTAGAAATGAAATTGCGAACTAGGATAAAAATTAATTTTCGTTAATAATGGAGCACTTTTGTCGCATCTCGATCATCAGAATCTGTGCCACGAGTCTGACTCGTCAGTCAAAGGGGTTAATATCAAGATTACGTTCCATATCGTGACAGTGAACACACGTGTACTATAATACATAGAAGTATGACACTCTCGATTCGATATTGAAACCAGTGAATCGATTCGACGATCCATGAATGAGTCCACGTTCCAATAAAAAGGCCTCCGTCGTGCCCGCGAAACACGAAGAGTATCACCGTTACGTTAACGAACAGCCCTTTCCTTCCCTCTATTTTTTTTATCATAACCGAAAATTGATCGAACCGAGGAAAACTGCACGTGGGCATTCGCGGTTTATTTTCGCAGAACCGGTTGTTTAGTCGGCTAAACATCGAGTGCCAGATATTCTTCTCGAGGATCGCCGATAAATAATCCTGGTGATTTACGCGATCTAAAAACGATCACTATACCGCGAGCACCCGACGAAACGCAGATAATCGGGAGAACTTTGTTGTTGCAGTGCATTATCGGTATAGTTGCTCGAACCGATATAGAGAGATCGTAAGTTGAGAGGTTAGGCTGCCTTGGCCTTTTCCAAAAGTACCTCTTCTTTGAGGATTTCTTTTGGAGTAACACAAATTCTCGTTTTTTCTTTTTTTTTAATGTTTTTTGTTTAAAAAGATTTATAACGAAACTAAAGTGTTTATCGATTGACGTAGAACTTGGTTGGTTAATTGAAGTATACTTCAAAGAGAAAATTCGCTTTTCACGCGGAAATGTAGTAATTCGAGTGAAATTAAAGTAGTAAAATAAAATCTTAAAATTAAATTCAAACTCTGACGATATGGAGTGCATTCGAGAAGATGAGTGCAAAATTTCTTATAAAAATTTCTGTTTGCAATTTTTCATCAAATCTACGCGATACTCAATTTTTTAAATACACCGCAACGACAGATTACGTGTACTTTGACACTTGATCAATTTCACGACCTCGTTGTATCGATTCGACCGACTATACCCTGGGGAACGGCGAAGGATTTTCTTTACTTTGAATCGAAAGTTTGTTTACCAGTTTGCAAATGACGTGTTTGCTCGGTCGTGATCGACGTCAGTTGAAAAAGTCAGTGAATATTGCGTTATCAGCAGTCGATTCGTGACCACTGATTCTGATTATTAGCAGCCTATTTCTCGATACGCATTCTGCTAGTCACGGCCCGCGCCAATTCCGTGGTCACCGCGTCTCTCGGTTGATTTCAGGTGCGAATTCTCGATTGCGTGGAATATTGAAAGGGTGTCTTTCGAAATAATATTCGGAAAAATGTTTCACTCCAGGGACGAAAACAATTGAAAAAAATTAATTTCCTCGTATCGTTAGAAACATTTAAATGTCGCAAGTAATGATCGAATTTTTTTTTTTAACCCTTTGCACTCCAAAGGCGCTGTTATGGCGACACACTTCATTACTCTGGAGAACTTAGAAATGTAAAATTCAAGTTTTTTAATATTACTAAAATAATGCGACTTAAATATTAAAAATCTTTTCTTTCTTAACAAATCTTTATATTTTCAAAAGTTTCACTGCAAAAGTACATTGAAATTGCTATCTAATCTTATCAAAAAATGCTTGGAGTGCAAAGGGTTAAACCTCTAAAATTTGTGCTGGAAAAAGGGTTAAGAATCTTGCGAAAAGGACCTTTGTAAAATTCCAAATCTTTCTGTCTTGCAAAATTCCAAATCTTTCTGTCCTTGAAAATTCCAAATCAACACAATCTTTCAAAATTCTAAATCTTTCTGTCTTGCAAAATTCCAAATCTTTCAGTCCTTGAAAATTCCAAATGAACACAATCTTTCAAAATTCCAGACCTCTCTATCTCTCTAAATTCCAAATCTTTCAACCCTTGAAAATTCCAAATGAACACAATCTTTCAAATTTCCAAATTTTTCAATGTTTCAAAATTCACACAATCTTCGAAAACATCACGAACCATTCGTCGACCACTTGACCAGCTTTCCCGCTAACCGATCCT